TTGATTTATTCGATACCGTATTCTTTGTGTTGAGAAAAAAGTCAAATCAAATCACATTTCTTCACGTTTACCATCACTTTATGGGTATTTAAATGAATTATATATAAATTTTGATTAAAATTCTTATGAAATATGATAAATAACTTTATTAATAATTTTCAAATAATAATTAGTGCCGGTCTTGGGTTGGATGACATTCATGTTATGCATTGAAAGCTGTGTTTTCGGTGTATTTGTTTCCCTTAATTCAACAGTACATGTGGTTATGTATAGCTATTACCTGTTGTCGGCATTTGGACCCAAAATACAGCCCTATTTATGGTGGAAGAGATATATCACACGATTTCAGTTAATACAGTTTGCGATACTTATAGTGTACGCCATTATATTGTTTACATTCATGGATTTGTCTGATTATCCGGCTGCTATGAAATGGACAGTTATTGTTCAGCCCTTTATCTTCTTTTATATGTTTTTTATGTTTTATTTAAAAACTTACAAAAATCGTTCAAAATCTATAAAACGAAAGTAACTTTTCGTATTTAACTTAAATTATGCTCAGGAGTCGTACGAGGAGCCGGTTAAGAGCCAAATTTGTATAAAAATGTATAGCCCCTTATACAATTAGCATGATCAAATAACAATAACTTCTATTTTAAATCCGCGTGCTTTTTGATCACACTTACTCGTTAGTAATGTAATCTAAAATTTTAATATTGTGTCCATAGTAATTTAAGCAATAAAATGATACTTGAAAACAATTTAAATTAACAATTCTTTAATACGTTATAATTATAAAATTTTAAATATATGTTATAAATGGTTACTTTTACATGAAATTTACTATTACAGGTAAGATATATTTTACTAATAAGTGTTTCAATTAAAAGATTATTTAGTAATTATTATTTTGAATAACAATTATAAAAATATAAATGATATTTAAATGATTTAATGCAATCGATTGTTAATGAATAATTAGTACCAATTATATTACATATTAGTCATTTTATTTAAATTGAATTTTACGCAATCTTACAGTAGATTATTTGATATTTCATGCAATGTAAGCTTGAAATAAATATTACATGTAAAATACATAGAGGGAACTGATGTACCGAAAGAATATCCATATCTAAAAGGAATATCAAAATTCTTAATACCAATTATTGATGTAAATATATTTTTTAAAAGGGGTTAATGCTTTTGATTATTTGGTCCCCTCTCGTAATTTTTAATACACGAATCACTTTGAAATTATATTCTTAATTTCTATAGCAAATGGAATCCCAAAATCTAGTTATCAACGGATATCAACGTTAGAACTTGGAATCATCTAGAATTTTGTGAACATTATTTTAAACTAAGAACTAAGTTTGTATTTATTAAAACAATTTTTAATGTTATCATTTTTTATGGGGACAGTATTTAATCTTTTCTTAGTATTAATTATGGTTATATTTATAACCACAATTCAGTTATGAAGAGTGTAGTTGTTGTTGTTGTTGTGCCCGCAACAATAATTTACATTATGTATTTTTTTAAATTTTACAGAAATTTTTGTAAAATTTCAAACACACATAAAATACAAATGATGGTAATACTCTTAACATTTTTAATACTATAGGATATGTGTTTATAATATTCATGAATTTTATATCACCCATTGTTGTGCAATATATGACATACACTATAGAGAATGGTAAAAGTGTGCGTACATTACGTAGAGGTATTGTCGTCATATAATATATCGCTTTAAATAATGTATAAGATTCATTGTAATTAATTATATTTTATTTTAATTTTAATATAAATTCTTGGAAATGTTTATATAATTATATATATTGTACATTACTCAAAATTTGTGTATATTAATTGTGAATTAATTTGTTTTCGAGAATTTTTTATTAATTTTATAACTCTTTAAATAAAACATAAAAAACATATAAAAGAAGACAAACGGTTGGATTATAACTAACCATTGGAGAGCCACAGGATATTTAGATAAATCACAAAACATTACACCATATGTAACGTACACTATAAGTATAGCGAACTGTATTAACTGCAATCGTGTGATATATCTCTTCCACCATAAATAGGGCTGTATTTGGGGTCCAAATGCCGACAACAGGTAATAGCTATACATAACTGTGTGGACAATAGAGTTAAGCAAACAAA